TCTCAACAGCGCTCCGTCCTCCCTGTCCTGGGAACCCGTGGTAGGCAGCGGCTCTCCGGAAGTGGCCAGCCTGCCTCTACCTAGGTGGCTCACCTGCAAGGCTGTCTTCCTCTCCAGCTGTGGGGTGGGGGCGTTGTGTCAGACTGCCCCCTGGGGCACTCTAAGGCTTGACCTCAATGAGGTCAGGGGTGGCCTCACTTACTTCCTCTCCAGGGACTAGGAGGTGAAGGGCAGAGGCCAGTAGCACCAAATAACTAACTGACCATGTCTACTTGGATGGCAAGATTTATCAAGGCTTAAAAAAAAAAAAGCCGGGCGGTGGTGGCAGAGCCAGGCGGATCTCTGAGTTCGAGTCCAGCCTGGTCTACAAGAGCTAGTTCCAGGACAGGCTCCAAAACCACAGAGAAACCCTGTTTCAAAAGACCAAAAAAAAAAAAAAAAAAAAAAAAAGAGCCTTAACTCAGGTGATGGTGCACGCCTTTAATCTCAGCACTGAGTGAGGAGACAGAGGAACCTCTGGGAAACAGGTGAAGGGAGGGCAGACCCCCTAGATCAGAGAAGCCCTCAAGGGCAAGCCCACTGTGGCCCAGGACAAAGACTCCACACCTGTTTTGTAGCCAGAAAATAACTTTTATTTGTTCCAGGTCAGAACTTCTGGAACTGCTTCTTGGTGCCAGCGGCCTTGGTGACCTTGAGCACGTTGAAACGCACAGTCTTGCTCAGGGGCCTGCACTCTCCCACAGTAACGATGTCGCCGATCTGTACATCCCTGTGGGGTTACACAAGGAGTCTTCAGGAGGGACCCCGAGCACTCCCTGGATCCCCACTGAAAGGCTGCGGGTCCCCTCCTTGGCTCCACCCACCAGTGGCCATTCAGGTGGTTGCTAAGAGCAACCTCCCAGACACTTATCAGTGGCCTTGCCTCCGGTTCCTCAGCACCCGACTAAGCCACTCTGCTCTGCCCACAGGACACCCCAGCTTCTCCCCAAAATCGCCTTAAGGGGCTCCCCCACCAGCGGCCCTTTCTGATTGACACAGGTGCTTGTCTCAGGTTGTGCCAGGTTAGTAGAGAACTGTACTCACCTGAAACAGGGGGACAGGTGCACGGACATGTTCTTGTGGCGTTTCTCAAAGCGATTGTACTTTCGGATGTAATGAAGATAGTCCCGGCGGATGACAATGGTCCTCTGCATCTTCATCTTGGTCACGACACCTTGAGGAAGTGGGGGAGGCGGGGAGATGGTGTTAGCAGGCCAAGGGTAATTCACCCCGCAGGCAAACAAGCTGTTGAGTGGGGCTCCCAAGAAACCCTGCTTCTGGCATCAGTTTTGCCAACTGGCTGTCTCAGCAGTGCCCTTGGGGCTCTCTGAAGACCATCGTGAGAACAGACATCATCTGCCGGGGACCTGCATTCACAACCTCAGTTTTTTACTCACCGGACAGGATCCGACCTCGGATGGAGACGTTGCCAGTGAACGGGCATTTCTTGTCAATGTAGGTGCCCTCGATGGCCTGAAAGAACGAGAAAGTGCAGCTTGAACTACCAAACTACAGTGGAGCCCCGGAGGCAGCCACTCCGAAAAGGGCGCGGTGGCCCTGCTGCCACACGCAAGGCCACACGAGTCTCATCTGCTGGAGGGTCTTGTACCTCCTTGGGCGTCTTGAAGCCTAGACCGATGTTCTTGTAGTACCGAGGGAGTTTTTCCTTGCCGGTTTCTCCAAGCAGAACACGCTTCTTGTTTTGGAAGATCGTGGGCTGCTTTTGGTACGCACGTTCGGTCTGTAGGGACAATCGCTCGGTGAGCTCACCTGTCCACCCTGGCACGCTTCCACCCCTTAACGCCAGCGCCACGACCACCCTAGACACAGAATCAGCCTAGACACACGACCACCCCACATCTGTTCTAGCGTCCACACCAGGTCCAAACTTTTCCCGTCCTAAGGCCCGAACCCCGGCCTTTGTACTGCCGTCCCGAGCACACGCGCTCGCCCTCAGGAGCCACACCACACGGACACGCAGCCCAGCATGGTGGGCCGGGGTGCGGGGCGGCCCCGCGTCCACAGCGCAGACCCCAGCGAGCCGGCGCCCACCCCCACGCTGCCCCACAGGACTGACGCCCAAAGCGCCTGAGACCCCACGGCTGTATAAGCCCGGGACGTCGGAGGCACAGGGCAGGCGTCCTCGCTCCGGCTAACTCAGAGGATGACGGGGACGGCAGGGAAGGAGACCCACGCTAGCCTCGGCGCCAGCCCTCAGCACGAACCTGAATGTCCGCCATCTTCCCGGCAGCCTGAGGAAAAGAGAGGTGGGCCAACTCCCGGGTTTCCTTCTTCAGTGCGCGAGGTCCGGAGCGGAAGTGACGTATGGCCAGCCCTGCATGGATTTAGGGGGCACTTCCGGTGCAGAGCACGCGATTCTGGAAGCGTCCGTACGCCGCCATGATAGTGGAGGACTATGAGGACCGGAGCGGAGCCTATCATCTCGCGAGATCTCAGGCGGCCATTGCCGGGGATGGGCAGGCTGGGAAGGGACTTCCTGCGGTGCCGGGAGAGCAGCAGGGCGGGGTCAGGTTTCTTCAGGAACGGGAGTCACGTGGAATTTAGAACCGCGTGGTGGGCTCAGATTCCCGGTGGGAGGCGGCGGTGGCCATGTTTTCCGGCTCACGTTATAGCATTATTCCTTTATTAAAGTGTATGTCCACGTGTACCGCTCCTGACACCATCAGGGCCCTCCCGCAAACCACCCAGACTGGAGCTATAGGAGCCAAGTTTCTTTGCTTGCTGGGTGTACATTCCACCCCCATTCCCTCTGGGTTTGTATCCTGACTACCTTTGGAGAGGACCACACCCCTCAGAAACGGAGGGACCCCAATCTTTAAACTCAGGAGGCAGGAAAAGCTTTGTGCCAAATGGAGTTAGAAGGATTTTCCCGGCTAGATCCAGGACAGTAAAAGCTACTGTCAAGATAGAATAACGTTTTTGCAAATGGTGCTGGTATTCCTTTAATGCCAGCACTCAGTTCCGTTTCAGACCAGCTAGGGCCACCTAGTGAGACTGCCTAGCGAAGCAAGCGACCTCCTGATACAAGTCTCTATCCACCTGGGGCAGCATAAAGAGGGATTTTAGATGTCTTTCTGGGATGTTACAATTTCGCCAAAGATTTAATAAGTCAAGGATTTGATGGTTTTTTTTTTAAATCATCAAGAAAACAGACCCAGTGTGTGACAAACCATAAGCAAATTTTAAGCTGGACGTGTTCATGGTCAACTGTTTACCACCCAACACCTCGAAAGCTGAGGGCGAGGTCAACCCTACCCCAAACCAACAAACTTGACCACTGACAGGATTCCTCCTCTACCCTGCACCAGCTAACTAGTCCGGGCGGGCCCGTTCAGCCATCCCAAAATTACAAGCGTACATTACCACGTGGCCTTTTTTTTCTGTGGCAGTATGTCTATTAAATAAACCTGTAGTTGAGGATGTGGCTCAGGGAACCACTATCAATTCTACATTTAAAGCGCCCTCAGGTGCGTGGTGGGTCTCACCTTTCATCCCAGCACCTGGAGACAGAAGTATTTCCAGCTTTGAAATCAGCCTGGTCTACAGAATTGGTTCCAGGATAGGAAAAGCTAGAGAAACAAACCCTCTCCAAAACTCCAAACCTCAGGAGCCAAGTTCCTGGTCATATGGTAACTGCCTGCACTACAGGATACCTTTAATTGACAGGCTTTGATAGCCCTGGCTCTCCTGGAACTCTGTAGACCAGAGGGTCTACACTGCCACCTGTAATCTCTCATCTGGTGTAGGCTGGTGGGGATTTATGAGATTCCCGCGAGGGCCAGGTTAGATCTCGAGTTAGATGGTTGTGAGCCACCAATAAGGCTGTCCCTTAAACCCTAAATACCTTTACATCTGAGGAACCATTTTAAAGTTTAGTTTGACCTCCCTTCCCTGGTTGGCACTGTTCCAACTCCCCATTTTCGGTACCCTTAACTAGCCTCCCCAGCCTTAACTCATTTAGGGCAGAGTTCCTGAAGCCCACGTGCTTGCTAGTGACAATCCCGTACTTCCGCAGCTGAATTCGAGTTAAGTAAAACCATTTCAGGAAGGACCCATGGGAAGGTTTTTGCACCTTCATGCCTTTAACAGAAGAGCAGACCACAGCCTGAAAATTCCAAAGTTTTGGTCCCATTGTTGGTACCCCTCTGCTCCTGCCTATATAGCCGACGTAGAGCAAAGATACCAGTTTTCTTTAACAGTCAAATAATTTATTAACAGAATGCTGCAGCAAGAAAGTAAAATTGCTTTCTGAGCAGCGCTGGGAAGGGGAAAAGGCCGTGGCTTCCCAGTGTGCACTTCTGAATCCCAGCCCAGATGTTAGGTCTCCGTCCTCACAGCTGCAGAATACATTGATGGGCAGCAGCCCAGTCATTAACACTAAAGCCCAACCAAGTGATTCCAGCTCAGAGCTTTTACAAAAACACCCTCTTTCCCACAGAAGCAGTGCCTAAAGCACCTTTGTCCCCACTTCCCTAGTCGGCGGTGGAGGAAGAGTAGGCCAGGCAGGCGTGAGACACAAAGAGTCTTTATTGGGCTCACACAAGGAGTCCGTTGGTCTTGAGGACCTCTGTGAACTTGCAGATTTTCTTCTCCACGTTCTTTTCTGCCTGTTTCCGTAGCCTCTGTGGGGTAAAGACAAGTGATAGTGAATGCCTGCTCCTCTCCCAGAAGCACCCTCATCCCGGGCTGCAGCCCCATCCTCACCAAGAGCTGCTTCTTCTTCCGATAGTGCATCTTGGCCTTCTCCTTCCGTTTCTCCTCCAGAGTGGCTGTTACTGCCTGGTACTTCCAACCGACCTCATGAGCCAGACGCCCCAGGTAAGCAAACTGCAGGGGCACAAAGCTGTAAGGACATGGAAGGTGCCCCGGCAGCACAAGGATGAGCTAGAGAACCCTACAGTTTCTATTAAAGGACACATACCCCTCCCCCACAGGAGCCCCTCCTGGCATCAGTTGAGCCCATGGCATTATCGGCACTGCCCGTCAGCGGCATCCGCAGACCATCGTGAGAAAATAGCCATCATGTGCCAGTCTTGAGGTCCCCCCAGCCCACTCTGCAATTTGGAGCTTACCTTCCTGGTAGGCTTCAGCCGCACAACCTTGAGGGCGGCAGGGACCACCATCCGCTTTTTCTGTTAGAGAACGAGAAGGGCTCAGAGACCTGTGAGCGACACCTGGGAAGGAGGCTGCTGGGGCAGGCGTCTCAGCCAGTGGCGTTTTCATGAGGCTCAAACAATGTAGGTAATAGCAGAACATCACAGACGCTGGTCGCACAGAGGCTGTGAGGCTAGGCTTGCATGGCTCACCTTGTCATAGGGTGGAGGGATCCCATCCAACACCTTGAGGCGTTCCAGGGCAGCCTGGCCTCGCTTGGTCTTGTGGGGCAGCATGCCTGGAAGAACAGAAGGCCTCCTTTTCAGAGGGGCTGAAAGCCCGGCCCTAGCCTAGAGCAGGGCGAGGAGCTAGCCTCAGATGGTAGTGCATGTGGAGTCATCTCACAGTTGGGGAACTCGAACACGAGTGGGAGAGATCCTCATCACAGGCTGCCAAATAAATACCTGCCTTCCACGTAGCCCACAGGCCCAGCTCACTCACCTCGCACAGTGCGCCAAAAAATGCGGCTCGGGGCTCGGAAATGGTAGGGGCCTCGGGAGGGGTTGGTGTTCATCCGCTTTCGGAGAAAGGCCAGATACTTCACTGTCAACAGAAAAAGTGGGTGAGGCCTTCTCAGTCCCAGAAACAGATCCTAACTAGAGATCTGTTTTTGCAGGACAAGTCCGTGCCCCATCTGGAGACCATCCCTCAGCCCTAACTCACACTTGTTTCTGTAGAAGTTTCCGGAAATGTTGATTCCCTCACAGCGAACAACGACCACCTTTCGGCCTAGAGAGAATGTGGGTTGTAGACAGTCAGCAAAGTTACACCTAACACCCAGCAAAACCAGCTCGAATGGAAAGCCAATCTCCTGCTCTAAAAACCCCTTGACTGTGAGTTCGAGACCAGCCTGGTCTACAAGAGCTAGTCCAGGACAGACTCCAAAACCACAGAGAAACCCTGTCTCGAAAAACCAAATAAATAAATAAATAAAAAACCCTTGAGCCAGGAGTCCAGAATACGGAGGGGCTGGCAAGTCTCAGAGCGGTGCATGGGTTGATCTCACAGTCGTGAGACTCAAACGAAAGATGGTGATTGTTGCTCATCACTGACTCCCAGGCCAACAGGGAAATCCTGAAAGAAACTTACCCAGCAGTACCTGCTTGGCCACAATGGCCGCCAGGCGACCCAGAAGATGGCCTCGGCCGTCCAACACCAGAACCTGCAGGAGACAGAAAGGCTTAGGGAGCAACCAACCACTCCTGCGCCTTTCCCCACAGGATGCCTATTAACCAGATGAGTAAGCCAAGGCAGCCTCGGCTGGCCCAGCACGGTAGACTTCAGGTGCCTGCAATTCCTTAGACGAGCTTCACCGTACTCTCTACGAAGCCTCAAATTACTGGATAGTTGGGATCTACTGGCTCCTGTGGGAATGCCCTGTACTACAACGAAATTTGACACTAAGACTTAGTTTTGAGTAAGTGTAGGCCACAGTGGCTCTGCATCAGAGTCTCAACGTGCAAATCCTTTTAACTCCGTAAACAATGGCTGTCCTGTCTAGTAATTCGGGCAAGCAGCGAAGAGGTCTGCAACTCTCGATACATGTGCCTGACATGTGCCGACAGCCCAGCCCATACTACAGGGGACAGCCACACAAGAACCCCCTTCCACAACTGTCCGACCTCTGCTGCTCTTCCTAGAGACAGATCCTCAAGGTAGTTCTAAGGGGAAAAGTCCCACAGCACCATTTATCAGACTTCTCCAAATGGAAACTTTTAAACGTCTAAAATTAACGCGAAACGTGCAAATCGACTCCTGACTAGCCACAAAAATCACGATGCTTCTGCTCAGTCTCCCGAACAGCTGACTTTACCCTACTGAAGATCTTTAAGAAGGAAACCGGCCACCCCCAAAAGTCACAAAAGCAGGCACCTCCCGTTTTAGCATTTCCCATTACCTAGGAACCACATGAATGTACAAACACAGCAACGTGCACCCTACGCTCTTCGCATCCCAACCGCCCGGGATAGAGCCTGAAGGAATTCTTTGCGGGTGTTGGGAACCCAAGCCCCACTCCCGACTTCCCCAGGGAAACCGTAGCATTCTCGGCGCCCCATACCTAGACATCGCGGCTTGCTATGACCACGTTACACGCTCCCCTCGCGACAAGAAACTTTCTACTTTGCTTAACTGCCGTTCGTAAGTCCCACGGCACAGGAGGCGTGGGGCGCAGGCCCCGTGCCGCTCCCGCCCGAAACCCACCAGTCCCCCTCACCGCCCAGCAAGCAGAGCCCGACCTGACCCTCCGCCATCTTCGGCAGCCGCCTGGGAAAGGAGGAGGTCTTGGCGCAGGGTTTCTTATCCCTTGCTGCAGGGGCGGAGGAAGTGACGCAAGCTGGGCCGAACCAAAGGCTTTCCGTCTTCTCATTGGTCGAATCGGTGTGCATGCGCAGACTGGAAGGTGGGTCATCTTTATATTGTCCAATCAGGACACCGTTTGAGTTAGCCCTTGGCGGCCATGACTGTGCGGGGCGGGAGATCACGTGGGTCCCGAGGAGGCTTCCCCGGGACAAGGCCGTCCAGCCCCGGCGGCCATATTTTGGAGGGAGTGCTCTTCTCCACTTGGAAGGCCGCTGTGTGGGGCGCCATTGCTCCCCTCCCGTAACGGCGGTTGCAGAACACGTGGTGGCCATAAGGGGGCGTGCATCAGTTCTGGCCGGCTCGCCCGCGTTGCGTTTGAACCATAGCGGTTAGCGTTTCCTCCTTTCACCCTCATGGTGGGCAAGACAATTGCCGGCCTTTTCTGAGCCTAGCAGTCTCCCAGTATTAAACAGGTGGAAATAGTTATCGAAGATAAGACTTCGGGGAGCCGGGCGGTGGGGGCACACCTTTAATCCCAGCGGATCTATGTGAGTTCGAGGCCACCTGGTCTACAGAGGGAGTTCCGGGACAGGCTCCAAAGCTACAGAGAAACCTCGTTTCGAAAACAAAGCAAGCAAACAAAAAGAGTTGGGGGAAAGTTCCTGAGCTGCATCCACCTGCTTCTGTTTCCAAAGGCTTTGCATTAGCTGTGCACATTATCTGCGATACCCTCCCTGCTCTGCACCTATAGCCCCCCAAAGCAAACAAAAAGCCAAACAAGTCGATTTGGCAGTCTCCGTGACACATCCCAGCTTGAGTCGATTCTACCTGGAGTCTCCAACACTTGGCTTTCCTGCCACTTTGCTGTCATGATCTTGGGGAACTGGGCTGTTCCTGCCTCACATCAGGGTTCTATGGAGCACTACCCAGCGCCGAAGCAGGGCCACTGGAGGCCTCAGAAAACAAACAGGACCTTTTGTCGTTGGTTTTGGCTTTTGACGTAGGATTTCTGCAATTCAGGCTGGTCTTAAGCTTGAGATAAGTGCCTCAGCTTCTGGAGAGATGGGATTGCATCACCAAGCACCGCAAAATCCTGAAACCTAAAATAGCCCCCCCTCCCTGTCCCATCCACAGACAGGTCCGGAAGAGCTTGTAAAAACCATTTATATACAAGTTAATGGGGGCAAGGCCTTTGTACTGAGTGGGGTGAGTGGGGCTTTTGCTGGATTCTGATGTTGACTCCATCCTGGGGAGAGAGCTGGAGTAGCCGCGCAGTCCAAGAGGGGGCCAACCTCCACCCAGCTTTCCTTGTGTCCAGGCTGTGCGGCGTCTGTCAGGTGAGTCCTGCTTTGCCTCAGTATCCTCCTCTGTAAAATCGATCAATAGTCTGAGGACTGGCGTTTGGTCCGCACTCCACCTTTGAACCACGCCCCTTTCAAGCAAGCCCTCTACCACTAATCTACATCCTCCCAACCCTCCCCACTTCTCCCACTCCCACCCCTCCCCACCCGGTTTAGGTTAGTCTGGATTTCTATGTACTAGTAGATAACCCAGAATCCTTGCCCTTTTGCCTCTTCTCCAGTGTGCGGGGACTACTGACTTGACTATAAAATCTGTTCCAGGGCTGGAGAGATGGCTCAGCGGTTAAGAGCATTGCCTGCTCTTCCAAAGGTCCTGAGTTCGATTCCCAGCAACCAAATGGTGGCTCACAACCATCTATAATGAGGTCTGGTGCCCTCTTCTGGCCTTCAGACATACACACAGAAAGAATATTGTATACATAATAATATTTAATAAATATTTAAAATAAAATAAGATAAAATCTGTTCCAAGGGGTTTTTGTTTTGTTCTTTGTTTGTTTGTCTTTCCAAAGGGAGTCTCACAGCCAGGCATGGTGACACACACCTTTAGTCCTATCACTGAGGAGGCAAAGGCAGGTGGATATCTGTCTAAGCCAGCCTGGTCTACACAGCAAGTCCAAGTCAGGTAGAGCTACCTGAAACCCTGTTTCAAAACAAACAAATCATGGCCCTCAAGCTGACTTAAAGGATAAAAGGCCTCTGCCACTGAGCCTGTCACCCTGAGTTCCCCGGGGACCCATCTGATGGAAGGAGAGAAGTGGCTCCAGCAAGTTGTCCTCCGACTAGTGCACAGGCACAGTGGTGCACATAGGCCACCATGCGGAATTATTTTTAAATTTTTATTTATTTTGGGGAGGCTTGAGTGTAATTTAAAAAAAAAAAGAGCAATTACTCTCAGTTGTGAGAGTACACACCTGTGGTCCCAGCTCTCCAGAGGTAGAGGCAGGAGGATGGATTACCCAGGAGTACCAGGCCACCTGAGCTACATAGACACCATCTCAAAAAATAGTAAATAGAGTTGATATTACAGACATGTGCCACTATGTCTGATAAATGGTGTGTGTTTCAGAAACAAGCCCAGAAATAGGAAACCACAAAGTTTAGACACTGTTCCTCCATCTAATTGTTTTAACTAAGCTAGCAGGGAGCCGGTTTCCCCGCAGTGGGAATATTAGTGCAGATACAATGTTTCCAGTGGCTGTGTGGCTGCAGCTGTAGATGGAACCCGGAGCCTTTCTTGTGCGAGCTCCCCCCTAGCCCCGCCCAGCACTCCCCAGCCCCGCCCAGCACTGCTACTCTTCAGTGTTCTAAGTTCCCAGGGTTGGCCTTGCTGTTTAAACTCCTCTGCCTTAGCCTCTCGACTACTAAGATTTCAGGCAGGCAGCTCCACGCCCAGCAGTTATTTTTTATTTTAAGGAGCTGGGATGACAGAAGCAGCCACACAGCGCTACAGTGTCCTCTCTTTCTTTTTCTTCCTTTTTGTTTTTCTTAAAGTCAGTATTTTCCAGCTTCAGCATCGCCAGCTCAGAAGTACTGGAATGTTCATCACCGTGCCTGGACATTGTGTCCTCTGGCAGGGCATGGAGTTCAGTAGTACAGTATTTGCCTAGCTTTTTCCTTGTTTGGTTCCCAACTCTAACATTGAGAAAACCAAGAAAAAAGAAAAAGAAAAGCCTTGTTGTATGTAACATGCCTGTGGACCCAGCTATTAGGAAGGCAGGGGCAGGAAGATTCACCAAGGTGTTCAGAGTCAGGTGGGCAACATAGTGAGACCTCATCTGCAAAAACATCAGGGTCACTGATTGAGTTTCTTTGTGTGTCTCACAATGGCCTTGAACTCACCGTGTAGCCCAGGATGGCCAGACCTTGCAGCAATCCCCCTGCTCTGGCCTCTCGAGTGCTGGGTTACAGGTGTGGCCTCATATGAGAGGGATTATGGGTGCCTGCAGGGGGCCCCACCTTCTTGCCTGCTTGCCTGCCTCCGCGCTTGCTCTCCTCATGCCGGACTCTTCCCTCACACTTCCATGGCTCTTTGCTGCCTTGTGATAGTGACGGCTTCGGAAACCCCCTGAGCTTTGTGACACTGGAAGCTTATCAAAGACTGTTCTTCCCCAACACACACCACTCCCCAGAATCCCTGCCCCTCCTATGACATAGTGAGCCCCCCAATCTTGGATTGACTCTGTATCCCCCAAGCCTGGCCATTCCATGCTCTGGTAGAAGCAGAAGACTCACCGAGATAAGACCTTGGCGGAGTCAACGCTGCACAAGTTTCATATTCTACGGATGGGAGGTGAGGGGCACCTGAGGCCCCACAAAGTCAGCCTCAGTACACCTGCAAGGCCACCTGCCACCCTCATCCCTCACCACCCACGCCACCCAACTGCCTGGACTCTCGACTCACCCCAGGGTGGTGCACTGTCCTCCTCCATTTTGCCCTCTGACAGTGAAGGTACCAGGCAGTTGGCAGCAGAACGAGTGTGAGAGGCAGCAGCAGCAGCAGCAGGAAAAACAGATGACTGGACGGAGGCTCTGGATGCCCAGTGGCTTCTAGGGCTACAGGATTCTTTGGGGGTAGCAGGGTAGAGGACTCTGGGGAGAGAGCAGAACAAGTAACAGAGGGGACTCATCAGAGCAAACACTGAGTGTTCTGGACCACGGCTGACAGTGCACGAGGGGCCCTCCAACAACCAGGGTCAAAACCTGAGTGAGGACGAGCCAGGCGTGGGCAGCACAAGCCTTTGATCAAGCATTCCAGAGACAAAGGCAGATGGAGCTCTGTGGATTTCAGATTAGCATGGTCTACATAGTGTGCTCCAGGACAGACAGGGATATTTAGTGAAACACTTTCAAAAATAAACCAAGTTGGATATAAAAAGTATGAGCCTGGGGCTGGAGAGATGGCTTAGTGGTTAAGAGCACTGGCTGTTCTTCCAGGACCCAGGTTCAATTCTGGGTATCCACATGGCAGCTCACAACTGTCTGTAGCTCTAGTCCAGGAGTTATCAATCCAATACCCTCTTTTGAGCTCTGTGCACGTGCGCGCGCGCACACACACACACACATATGCACACACGCAAATGCGCACGCACACACAAGAGCACACAGATGAACAGAAATGGTTAATTTAAGTTAAAAAAAAATGCTAGCTAGAACCGGGCAGTGCTGGTGCCGCCTTTAATCCCAGCAGAGGCAGGCAGATCTTTGTGAGTTCAAGGCCAGCCTGGTCTATAGAGTGAGTGCCAGGACAGGTTCCAAAGCTACAAAGAAACCCTGTCTCAAAAAACCAACCAACCAACCAAACAACCAAACAAAAAGCTAGTTAGAAACAAGCCTAGGTCTAGAGAGATGGCTCAGCCATTAAAGGATAGGCTCACAACCAAAAATATAGCCTAATCTAAGGCCAAGAATTCATAATTATTAATGAGTATCCCATGTGGGGCTAGAGAGATGGCTTAGCAGTTAAAAGCACTGATTGTTCTTCCAGAGGTTCTGAGTTCAATTCCTGGAAACTACATGGTGGCTCACAACCACCTGTAATAAGATCTTGTGCCAATTTCTGGCTTGCAGGGATACATGCAGGCAGAACATTGTATACATAATAAGTAAATAAATCTTTAAAAAAACAAGTCTCTATGTCTTTATTTGGGAGATGACTGGTGGCCCAAAGAGAAAGCCTGCTCCAATTACTATATATAATTAATACGTGGTAACATGAAAAAATCAAGTGCTATGAAGCCAGATGTGATGGCTTCACACCTACAATCCCAGCACTCAACGCCAGCTTAGCCTGTATAACGAGACCCTACCTCAGAAGAAGAGAAAAGGGGCTGGGGAGGTGGCTCAGCAGCTAGGAGCACTGGCTGCCCTTGCATTGGACCTGATTTCATTTCCCAGCACCCACATGGTGATCCACAACTGTGTAATTCCAGGTCCAGGGGATCCGATGCCCTCTGCTGGCCTCTTTCAGCACTAGACACACATTCAGTGCACTTGCAGCTTGTAGGTAAAGCACTCATAAAAATAAGTAAGCTGGAAAGAGAAGGAGGAGGAAAGAAAAAATAAAGAGAAAAGAGAAAGGAGAAAGACCTTGTTTCAAGATCCAGCTAGTGGAAGCAGAAGCCTCAAGGACACACAGTAAGCAAGCCTGGTGGCACTGGGGGTGCTGGGCTTCGGCGCTGCTGCTACCTGGCTGGCACTGCACCTCTAGGCACCGAGAAAAATTCTGGCAGGCCTTCCCCATGCAGGGCTTCAGAGCTAACAGCTGCGTGCAGGTGTCCTGCAGGAGGTGGGAGATGTTGGTCTGGACGAAGCGAAGACATTCTGGTAGAGGCTGGGAGTAGGGATGGACAGGTCATCACCATGTCACACCAGAGTCTCCACCAACCCAGGGCCCTGACATGCAGAGGACACAGAGCCAGCGGGCCCAGGTCTCAAAGACTCCAGGGTCCTCCAGTTGTTAGAGGAGAGAACCCCTTAGTAATGCCTTCTTCACCTACTGAGGCACAGACCCAGTACCAGGATCCCCAGGTGACCCCCGGGCTCGGAGGTTCCAGCTCTGCCTCTGCGGTATGCTGTGGGCAAAAGAACTCCCCCCAGAAGACCTAGCAGAGCTGAATGTACTTTAAGGCCCGGGGAGGGACTTGGCTCTTTTCGTTTGTTACCAAGTTCCAGTGCTAACCCGGAAGGCACATGAGGTGACAAAATGTATCTCCGTGTTGACAGCCTCCAGAAGTGTTTGCATTTCAGACCCTGCCACAGTCTTCAGTTGCTCCATCCAGCGCTGGGCCAGGAAGAGGCTCCACAAGGCCTTGCAGTGTTTCTCCTGCCGACCAAAACCCAAGCCAAATCACAGGGAAGAGGGGCGGAACCAGATGACTAACAGGGGATGGGCCAAGCCAGAAGGTTGAGGGAGGGTGGGTGGGTGATGGCTGAAAGGGATGGGTGGGGCCAGATGACTGAGGGAGGGCGGGGCTAGGTGGCTGAAGAGGATGGGCGTGGCCAGATATCAAAGGTAGATTGGGTGGGATCAGGGTACTGAAAGAGGTGGGGCCTTGCTAGAGACCAGAAGGGGTTATGTGAGGAGGGACAGAACCAAACCCCTGAGATGGGACCCGGCCAGATACCAGGGGAGAAAAGTGGCTACAGGTCTGAAGATCCCTGACGGAGGGGCGGGGCCAGGGGCCTGAAAGGGAGGGGCCCACTACACCTAAGGGAGAAATGAACAGTGAGGCCAGTCTTGAGAGCTTGAGAGAGGGAGGATGGCGGGACAGACTTCTGAAAGATCGAGATAGGACGCCTGGGTCTGATGCGGGGAGGCGAGGGTCTAAATCGCCAGATCTGAGGAAGCAGGAGGTGGCCCCATAGCATTGCCCTGAACGATGGCGCATCTTGAGTCTGGATCCCACCTCCATCCCAGGGCCCTCCCGACAGTGACTCACGTCCTGAAGGTTGATGGCCACAGTGACTGGGTAATCTTTAAGCAAGTAGTCAGTCTGTGGGGAGAAACAAGGAGAGACGACAAATTAGAGAGGATCGGAGGAGTTGGAAACAGACCCCGAGACAAGGGAACATGAACACAGGACCCACATAGAGAAGAAGGGACTCCAAGATAGAGTAGAAAAGAGACCCTCAGAGAAAAAGAACAGAGGGACACGGGCCCAGAAATTGAGAGAGACCCAGAGAGAAGCAGAGACAGACAGTAGAACAGGGACTCAGAGAGAGCGAGCCCACAGAGACACTGTGAGAGGCAGGGCAGGGCAGAGGTGTGGGGTGGGACCAGTACGGTGGTCTGGCCTGGGCAGGAGCCGGCTCACCAGCTCCCTGATCCTCAAGTGGAAGTTGGAGGAGATAGGACTGTGGCTGAAGTAGCAGTCAGGTGTCCCCCGCAGACAAGGACTCAGCAGCAACAGCAGCAGCAGCAGGGAGGACTACAGGGAGGTCGTGTCAGCACCTGACTTCCACGCAGGGGCTCCCTGTGTCCTGCTCCTTCCTTAACTGGGTGTCATCTTCCCTGTCTCTGCCTGTCCTGCGCCTTGGCTGCTGTGACAAACCTATGTCCATATTCGCTATCTCATCCTGCACCGTCCTCTTTCTTCTAACCCTGTCCCGGGTTCTCTCTCCATGCCTCCATCCCTTGCCCATCTCCCTTCTCCGCCCTGCTCCATCACCCCTCAGGTATACGCACATTTGGACTCCAGGCTGGTACCAGCACTGTCATCTCGGCCGGGGACCCCTCATGCCTGTGGCAGGGTCTTGGGAGGGACAGAAGAGCAGACCTCGCACCCTGCAGCCCCTTACCCACTCGCCCCTGTGCCCCGCCGCCCCGCCCTGCCACCCTTGATGTGGGTGCGTTTCCGCCTCCTGCTCCCTCAGGCTTCCTGCATGAGCCCCAGTTACGGTGAAAAGTCATCTCCCCTTCTAAGAACCCCGACCGACCGACGGTCCTGCCCCAGAATCCTCCCCAGCCTCGCACCCTGCTCTCACGGTCCGGGAATGGGGACCTTGGGACCGCCCCTCAGGGACCTAGAAAGCCATTCACCCCACGCACCAGGCTTGCCCCAGCTGGGTGTGGAAAGACCAAATTGGTGACAGCCAAAGACCGAAAGTGAAAGAAGCTTTGGGGTAGACAGGGCAAGGGGTGAGTTCGTGCCCGGGCGGGACGCGCCACCCAGCGGTGAGAAGTGGTGCGGCCGCAGGCCTCAGCTAGGACAGCTCACGGACAGCATGAAAGACCTAAGGTTGCAACCAGGCCTTCCAGTACCGACCAGTGCCCATCACATCAGCTGCCACCATCTCCCACAAAGAATGTCACAGTGGCCTTCCTTCTGCCTTTCCTACTTCCCCAACTGCTCGCAGGGACTCAGAACTTGTGAACCTTCCAGCCAAGTTCCTCCAGTCTCTGGGATCTTGATTCTTTCAAGATACAAGTCCCGGCTTCAGCGGGGGTGATGGTACAGATCGGTCACCCCAGTTACCAAGGAGCCTGAGGCAGGAGAACTGGAGATTAGAGGCTGGCCTTGGATACAGAGCGCATTCAAGGCTGGCCCGGGCAATTTACTAAGACTCTGTCTCAAGCAGTATAAAGAGAGGGTCAGATACACAGCTCAGTCGGAGAGCAGCTGCCTTGAAGCCACGAGTAAGTGGCAGAGTACTTGTCTATCATGCTCCAGGCCCTTGACTCCAAAAAAGAGTGCCACAAAGATCTGCAGAATTTGGTCCTGTGCTGGGCTAACCTTGTTCGAATCCAACACTAGCCCTGTGTGTGAGGTGGGTTTACTCTCACCCCAAGGTCTTTGCACTGACTCAGCATGGGGGACACCCTCCCCTCCAGATACCTATGTCTGCCTCCGTCTTAAACACACAAGGCGGAGGCTTCGTGACTCCCTCTTCCAGGTTGTACCCCTTGCATTACCGGACTGACCCCCACTTTGCTCTTATCAGCACTGAACATGCCCTGTGGCTCCCTTATCTTATCCATTGTCTTGGCCTCTTCAGTGGCTGTCTCCACCCTGAAAAGTCCTTGCTCTGAGAACTCTGCCCGCTTGCAGCGTCAACCACACGCAGACTGTCCAGTAGGCCCTGACTCTTCCTGTCCATCATTGCTGTGGAGCACAGGTGGTGTCTGGGTTTGGTTTTGGTTCCTGGGAGATAAGTCCTCGGGATTTTCCAAGTATGGGGAGTGCCGTTGTTTATCAGGGCTGGCACCTGGGCTGCACCTGAGTTGCCCCTTCAGAAAGGAGCACACTGTTCCTGAAAGGCTGAGAATGAAGACTGTGGCACTGTGAGTATAGGAGAACCAGGAGTTCAAGGTTAGCCTTGGCTACTTAAGACCCTGTCTCAAAAAAGGCAGGGCATGGTGATGCCACCTTTAATCCCCAGCACCTAGGATCTCTGTGAGTTTGAGTCCAGGAGGACTACAAGGCGAGACCCTGTCTCAGGAACATAAGACAAAAGAAAACCCAACCAACCAAACAAAACTAAGCCAGGCTGGCAAGGTGGCTCAGCAGGTAACTTCGAAGCCAGATAATCTGAATTAAATCTCTGGGACCCACAGGAGAGGAGAGAGGCCACCTCCAAAAACTGCTCTCTGACCTCCATGTGCAAACTGTGGCAAATGACATAAATAAAATTTGAAAAGGAAAAAGTGGCTAAGGGTAGGACTGACTGTGGTAGCACTTCAAGTGAACTCACCCCTGCTGGGTGGTCCAGGACTCTGCCCAGCTACAGGTGCCACCCCCGAAGAGGTCCTCTCCTGTACTGCAGCCTAGCCCTGGCTACATGAGACCCTGATTCAAAAAGCCAGTAATGATGATGAAGATGATGCTGGTCTCAGTCTCCAGTACCCCAGTCTTTCCAGCAAAAGCCCCCAAGCTGGACCACAGTCTCAGAGATGATGTGGGGTCTCTGTATCCCTTTTCCCACCATTCTTTGTTTGAGACCACAGTGATCTGGGGCAACTCCTATTTTAGCTTCCTGCTGATATAACAAGAGATTGAGTGGCTGGAAACAACACCTTATCTCCAGCGAGGCAGTGACAGCGCTCGCACGCACACAAGCACGCACGCACACAAGCACTCAGGAGGCAGATGCAGATGAATCTCCAAGCTTGAAGCCAACCTGGTCTACAGGACTGAGGGAGTTCCAGGACAGCTAGGGCTACACAGAGAAATGCTGTGTGTGTGTCTGTGTGTGGGGTGTTTGTGTGTGTGTGTGGGGGGGGTGGTGGTGGAAGTGGGGAGTTTATCTCCATTAGGTCTAAAGTCTAGAAGTCCAACTGGCTCCCTCTACAGGACCCAGGGGAGAAGAGCTTTAGGACAGCAGCTCTGGAGGCTCCTGGTGCTCTTGGGTTTGCGCCAGCTCCCTCAGTCTGGTCACTGCTCTCCTCGTGCACATGCCTCTACTGTGTCCTTTCGATGAGTCACAGGCTCCTTGTTCTTCGATAATGCATGGTGATGCATCGCAAGACCCTGCTGCCACGGATCATACAGCGCTTGGCTAGTAAGACACTGCTGCCGCTGTGCGCTTGGCAAGACCCTGCTGACGCAGATCATACAGCACTTGGCTAGCAAGCACAAAGCCCCTTATTCCATCCCCAGCACAGCAGAAACCAGGCTGGGCAGTGCACACCTGTAATGCCAGCAAAACCATCCTTCACTGAGACTGAAGCCAGCCCGAGTCTTGCAAAACAACCAGCCCTGCATCTCCAACTCCAGTCTGCCCAGGCTCCCCTGTGCTCCGAGTCCCGACTGCTGCTGTATAGATTGTGGTTAGCATGTTCTTAGAGCACCAGGGAATCTGTCACAGGTGCTGGCTTTGTCACAGTGAGAGCTTGGCTAGCCCCTAGTCCTCTATAAGTTGTTGAAGTTTTTGTCTACCCTTAACTGGGAGATGAGGTAGTAAACTGGACAAAAATACAATGTAGCTTCTCTTTGTGTTGTAGCTCTAGTGAGTGAACCAGGGCTCACACATGCTGGGCAGGGCTCTGCTGTTGAACCATGTCCCAGCCCCTTACTGGGGGATACTAGGCTGGAGCTCTACTGCTGGCCTACACCTCAAACGCTGTAGAGTCTTACTGGGGGATACTAGGCTGGAGCTCTACTGCTGGCCTACACCTCAAACGCTGTAGAGTTTTCTGTATCTTCCTTGGTCCACCTGCCGGAGGTAGATGGTCTGCAGCTCTACAGGTCCCTCCTGGGAACTCTGGCATGTATATCTTTCTTTGGCCAATGACCTGAGATTGAAAGTGAAAGTTCTCTTTTTTTTTTTTAAGTGAAGGTTCTTCATGGTGAAGGCCATAGGCTGGGAATGGGTGTGGGGAGTGGGCCTGCGTTGTGACTGTGTTGCCTTAACTTTCTCGTGTGTTGGAAACTGAACCCCACATTCACACTGTTGGCATCTCTAGCTGGAGCTTAAATACAGTGATACACTAGACTTGGTATTTCAGCACTTGAAGGCTGAGGCAGGAGGATCACAGTAAATTCTGGAACAGCTTAGGCTACACAGTGAGTTCCAATTCAGCCAGTGTTAGTCAAACTCTCTTTGAGAGTCTTATGTAGTAGTTAAGGAAGTTTACGAGAACCCAGAATAAAAGATAGCAAATGTTTACTGGGGAACACTCACAATAAGAAAGCCTCTGTGGGCCTGGTTAACAGAATCCAGACCATCAGCTAAGGGAGAGCAAGCATGTTTTTTGTCTGCACTTACCTCAGACCACGTCCTAACAGGCTGGCACCCAAAGGCTGCTGGCTGAATGAACTCCCACAACACCCTTACTACGTACACTATGTAGCGTAGCTCCAGCATGGAACAAGATAGAAAAGGCTGCGTTCAAACTCAAGGAGACCCTCTTGCCCTGCCTCTGGGGTCTGCGCTACCACTCCCAGCAAGACTCTGCCTCAGAAAACTGTAAAACATGGGACTGGAAAGATGACTCAAGATTAAAATCACAAACAGGGGGCTGGAGAGATGGCTCAGAGGTTATTAAGAGCACTGCCTGCTCTTCCAAAGGTCCTGAGTTCAATTCCCAGCAACCACATGGTGGCTCACAACCATCTATAATGAGATCTGGTGCCCTCTTCTGGCCTGTAGACAGAATACTGAGAATACTATATACATAATAAATAAATCTTAAAAAAAATAAATAAAATCACATACAGGATCTGAGTCCTGTCCCATGGTGGGTGCAACTCCATGGCACCCAACACTCTTCTGGCCTCATGTGCCCATATCCACTTACATAATAAAAATAGAGAAAACATTGTGCTGGCTGGGTTTTGTTGGGCTTCTCTGTGTAGCCCTCACTGTCCTGGAACTCTAGAGATCCCCTGATGTAAGCTATAGTCATGGGAGGGGAGGGAACTCAGTCGTCAAATTGTCTCCGTAAGATCTGGCTGCAGGCAAGCCAGTAGGGCTTTTTTTTTTTTTTTTTTTTGGTTTTTCGAGACAGGGTTTCTCTGTGGTTTTGGTTCCTGTCCTGGAACTAGCTCTTGTAGACCAGGCTGGTCTCGAACTCACAGAGATCCGCCTGCTTCTGCCTCACGAGTGCTGGGATTAAAGGCGTGCGCCACCACCGCCCGGCGGGCATTTTCTTAATAGTGAGTGGGAGAGCACAGCCACAGTGAGAGGGGCCGACCCTGCCTGGTGGTCTGGGTGCTATAAGAAGGCAGGCTGAGCAAATGTGGTGCAAGGTAGTAAATGGCCCTTGCATCAGCTCCTACCTTGGCTTTCTTCAGTGAACTTTGATTTGGAATGTGTAAACTTAAACCCTTTCCCTCCCAAGTTGCTTTTGGGCATGGTGTTACATCACAGCAAAAGTAGCCCTAATTAAGACACATACAATCAGCTGGGCGGTGGTGCACACCTTTAATCCCTGCAGTCAGAGGTAGTGATGCGTGGATCTCTGTAAGTTTGAGGCCAGCCTGGTCTACAGAGTGTGGGAGTTCACGTGTGACTCATTTTCCATCTGGAGTCGATTCTGACTTATAAATCATCTGAGTTCACGCTTGTCTGCTCTCTCTCTCTCTCTCTCTCTCTTTTTTTTTTTTTTTTTTTTTTTGAGACAGGGTTTCTCTGTAGCTTTGGAGCCTGTCCGGAAACTTGCTTTGTAGACCAGGCTGGCCTCAAACTCACGAAGATCCTCCTGCCTCTGCCTCCTGAGTGCTAGGATTAAAGGTGTGCGCCACCACCGCCTGGCCGCTTTTTACAATAATCTTGAGGGCTGTGAGACTTCTGATTTAGCCCATGAGAAAAGAGCATTCTATCTACTCAAAAGAATACAGCCGACGCCAAACCTCAGGAACATCAGGATAGAAAGTGAGGCTGCTTCTGAGCAGCAAGCGCTGCTCAGACCAGAATGGTCTTGTCTTAGATACTGACCATCTGTGCTGTGCAATTTTCTGCCTTTGCTTATAAGCTAGTCCTGGAATCAACTCTGGGCTGTTTGGCTATTTGGGCATAACCAAACAGACCTCCTGATTCTATCCCGTGTTTCTCTCAGTTCCTTTCATCAGATATTTCCTTAGCCTTAGCATCCTCCCAATGCAGGAACCCCAGCTGACAGAGGAGTCCCTGGACAGGCTTCATTCAAACAAACAAACAAAAACAAAACAAAACAAAGAAAATGGATTAAGATAGCCTCCCTCTGCCCAGTCCCCCAGGCAACACTGATAAGGAGAGAGAGAGGGAGAGAGAGAGAGAGAGAGAGAGAGAGAGAGAGAGAGAGAGAGAGAGA